TGGGGAGTTAGATTAGTCAGTTTCATGTTGTGGCTTATTTGATGTTTTATTGTAAAAAAAAGGCACGTCTTTTCAGAGTGAGTCAGAGTTTCCATTTTTTGGTTTGAAGCATTGTGTGTTTTTGATAACTTGGTTGGTGAAACACCAGTAAAAATGTTCCAGAAGTTGCTTGTTCAAATCATATAGGTCTCTCTCAAATGATGTCACTTCCTACAGGTTGCCATGTTCATGGCATTTTGGATGCCAATTTGTCATGAAATGCATCGACTGCGCCATATTTTGAAGACTATTGGATCAACATGCTATATGTATGGAGCATTTTGTACACTGCACGCACATGCACCTGATCGCGTTGACTGCGCATTTGTAATGTTCCTACAAAGATGGCATCTTATGAGAGATATCTACTGCAGCAGATTTCAACCCAATACAGCTCAACTATGAAAGGTGGCTGGACTTTTTATGAGTGGCAGTGCATTTTTTTTAACGAAAGTTTTACTTCATTCTTTCGTGGAAGTCGGTACATGGAAGGTCAAATTTTGATTGAAGTAAGCTTGTCAGTTGTTGATAATCAGCAGAAAATTTGCGACTTCTCAGTCCAAATCGCTGCTTTGTTTGGCAATCATTTCAGGACACGTACAGGGAAGAGAAGTGCGGATGCCAGCACGCCCATGCGACGCTACGCCATTCTCCTGATCCTGGGCGTGATTGCCTTCTTCACCATTGTTGTCATCATGACGCAAGCGGGCCGAGCTTCTGCCAATGCAGACCCCTTCCTAGACCCCATGGCTAATCCCAACATCAGGGTAGGGCGGAAGATACTGGAGTTGAGTCACTTTAGACTTGGTTTGTAGTAAATTCTATGAGGGGTGGTGAGTTAGAGGGGCATTCTTAGTGATTAAGATCAACTTTTTTTTTTACTAGTCCGTGTAAATCTTTGCAACTCGGTGCTGGGTGCATGAATGGCTGATCACAAGGTCAAAAGATAACCCCATTGAAATGTTGTATGCTTGAATTGTGGAATGTTCACTCAAACTTCGAGTATTGAAGCAACCTGAAAACCTCTGCAATTTCAGTTTGTTTGCTTTGCATGACTACGGTAAGGGATAACGGTCCTCAAGCCATTGTTAAACGAATTCATTCTGTTGCCAATTTGCTTTTCTCATTAGTCTTTCGTATGTCTTATGTTTGGTCTCTTATCTGTATTTCTCTCATCTGTGATAAAATACTCCAGAGCCCTTAAAGTCGGTGAATCCGCGAATTGATCAAATTGCCAAAGTGACACGGACACTGATAGAGGGGGGATAGAGGGGGGGGCATTAATGTAGGTTCCCCTCCCCTCCCCCGGACATTTTTCTTCTGCTTTTGAAATACATGTACAGAGTAAAAAGTAATTTAGCGGACTTTTTCACTTCCTTTCCTTGCCAAAGCTTGTAAACAGCTCTCAAAGTGAGCTCCGCCCCTAAGAAAGTCCATGAAAGTTTACATACAGAAATTTCAAATTTGGGGGAGGGGGTCCCTAACAAATGTTTTGGGGACCCACAACTTTTGCTCTGGATCTGCCCATTAACACTCAACTTTTGTCAGCCATCAAGGTTAGCATACTTTAATAAAGTCTGCCATATCATAAATGGGAAAGCTGGCTTACTTGACGTGAAGGAAAGTGAACAGCCAAATACCTGCCAGTACCTAGTCTCTAAATTGTTTAGTTATTTCACGGTTTCTTAACGAGGCTCATTGCTGTTCATCACAGTGGAACTGGTTGCTACGTTTTTCATTTCCATCATTTCTTATTTTGAATGCATTCTTGGCATTAATTGATTTCCAGTTTTTTATTGTCTCATTGCATTTGTCCGACTTACAACAACTTGTTTTTTCCCCTTTTTTTAAATCCGTACATCTTACAAAGGTTGAGCCCGAGGTTAGTTTTAAAGTTTCCATAAATTGTTATAAAGTAAAGATCTAGCTCCTTATCTTTCATATTGAAGGACTGTACACGTCTTTTGGGATGGAATCACTCATATGCAGACAGTTCAGGATTGGAGGGGGTGTCTCCAAGTTAGCAAAGGGGGGGACAGGCTACAGCGCATTGTTCCATAGTAGTTGGTTTTCAGTATCAGAAGAAATATGAAGCATTTTCACCTTAATCATGGAATTGTGGGAAGGAGTATTGTATCCGGCCAGCAAGATTTTCAAGTTTAATAAACACCAACAAATTTATAGAACATTTATACCCTGCAGAGTTGGCATAATTTTCTTAAACAAAAAATAATAGGTTAATTGGAATTTGTTGTGTTTGGTGTTGAGCAAGTGGTGGCTAGTTAAGGAACTCTTGTAGGATTCCACACAAGCAGGAAACGGCACTATGCTACCACAGTTGTGAGGGTACCTACAGTATGTGTGCCTAGTAGTTTAACCCGTGTTCTCTGTAAAAATAAGTCAGATGCCCCTAGAAAGGTCACTTTAGTAACTCTCAATGTCTGACATCAGCACAATATCCGTTTTTATGAGGATACCAGACTGAGTGATACATCAAAGCCAAGAGCTTAGTTTGCTCTTTCTATTTCAAAATGAAACTCAAAAAGTGGCTCTGGCGACTTCTGACTCATTTTCACAGTGCAAGTCACATCTGGTGAAGTGCCCCCAATCATTTTTTTTATCTGAATGTGCACAAAGTTGCTGCATTCTTGGATGGATGCAGGGCATGTATAGTTGCAGTGACAGTCAATGGCCTGTCGGGGGCCTGCACAGAGTTCATTCGTACTGTAGATGCCTATTACTTCACAGAAATCTTCTGAAAGAAACCCCTCAACAGGTTGGACTAAAAAACCACAACTTTCAGCCTACTTACGGAGATTTTCACAGGCTTTTAGTGAGTGCCTGATGATATCACGTTAGTGGCAGAAAGTGGTTGGAAGTCACTTGAAAAATCAAGTGACCCTCTCTTAGAAATTAAATTTTGCCAAGATTAACTTTCCTTGAAAAGTCTTATTCTAATCAGCTGATACTTTGGGGAAAACGTCATGGCTGTGGTTGTGTCAAGATTGGGATATGAGTGCTTTTCTCAAAGAGTTTTTGGCAATCCCCAGCTACACCAGGAAAATTAATGAGATTGCTCAGATGGCGATATTAAATTTTTAATTGGTGAAACTACTTGGTTTATTGAAAGGGCCTCGTGCATATTTCTGGTAACTATGATAATTTCCTCAAATTGCCCGATTGCACAGAACAGTAAAATTCTCATCGTTTTTGTTCTCTGTTTTTGTTCCATGTCGAATGCAGGCATGTCGGACCATATAAGGGTATAATAAATTGTACATAGAAAAAAGGTCATTGTAAATAAAGGAAAGTCGTATACATGTACACCAAACTTTGTGTGTCATTAAATGCTTTTCATTTTTTCTCTCTCCTTGATCAGTACAATTTACTTAAATTTAGTAATCGTATACTGCATCGTGGAACCCCAACTCGACGGGCTGTTTTGTGGGTATTAACCTTGTTGAATTTACCCAAGTCATCCACTATTCAGGAAGTCTTATCTCTACCTTTCTCACTCTTGAAAGAATCGTTCAAACTTTAGAGTGGGTTTGAAGATCTTTATGGCCAAGAGTTTGTCACCGTTCCGTGTGTAAAACCCCTCCCCCCCCCAAGTATTATCCTTGGCTTGGGAACGATAATGAATCCCGTCAGGTTATTCCGTAAAGTTCCGGTATCCCTCCTCTCTGAACCGGATGAAAGATGCCTCGATGGCGATCCGTACAAAGCACGCCAAGAAATTCAACACTGGAGATGAAATGAAAAAATACCGGAGAGATTACACCCAGTTCGAATTTAGAAGCATAAGGGATGTGGTGGGCGTGCTTTGCGAAGTGGACCTCTTAAGACCCAAGCTTGAGACTGCAAGCTAAGCTGTAATTGAGGTTGGGCCGTAGATCCAAATTAGCTGGCTGTACGGCTGGAAATAATGTATGTGACTATGGAGGCTACAAGATAGTCACTGGCTCTGTTGCCCATGGGAGCGTGAGTGATTGCTCGTCGTTGCCAAGCTAAGTCGGACACGGCCGTAGATCCTTGCTCCCACATCTGATGCCCCGCGTTCATTTCCCGTCGAGGCCGCAAAGCAATTTTTTTTTCGAGTCGCTCTACCTACAGCCCTGGGATCAAGTTATTTTGGTGTTTTCCTCATGCCCTACGTCAGTTCCCCTGCTGAAAATCACGGACTCGAGAAAAAGTCAGAAGGGCTGCCACTGATTTACTAATTAAAGTCCTTGAGGGCAGTATATAGATTTACACCGCACCGCACCGTACTATTAGTATGCATGATTTCGTTGGCCACTGACACTAGACTGGTCATTATCTGACTGACTTTGGTTCATTTGTGATTGTGCCTGAACAAATTCGTATCTATCTCTCGTGTGAATTTTTAGGTGAATAAATTTGCAATCGAGAGTCCCTACCTAGAGAGAACCACTCGCATCGGGCAATCTTCCAGTTTTTTCCCGCCTGTGTGATGTAAACGAAGCCAAGCAGAGCCAAATAAAACGAGATGATGTGCATAACCTACGCGGAAACACACAATAACAAAATTACTCTATTGATACATGTATCTTGATTTTGATTTCTGATTTTGCGTTGAACATTGATTTCCGTATTGCCAAGTATGTGTATTTGCTGAATTATACAAATCAAATAAAATAACGAAAGAGAAAAGTGAAAAAAGGGCAATATGGAAGCATATTCAGAAGACTAAAAAGTCTTTCAGAGAAAAGACAAATGCGAGACGATAGAGACAAAAAAAGGAAAACGTACGAGCAAACTGAGATGTACATGTATGATGTCTGGAATAAGAGCATTTCGTAACAAGAGAATTATGTAAGTGGAGTGTAGGTGTTGTAATATTTACCAGTAATAATTATATAATGCATGTGTAGATCACACTTTGCGTGCAAATAAAAGAACGTCTGCAAGCAGTTGAAAATGTGCTTTCTGTAGGCCCAAGTCTGTTTGCCTGTTCGTCTGAAATGGGAATCGATTCCTCCAGTAATGTCCTTAAGGTTTAATACTGGCCTAGATGCATGGGCACTGGCATGGTGTGCCGAGCGGTTCCTCGTTTAATATAAATACGAAACAAAAATTATCTTTTGGGATTTTTATTTTCAGTGGGTCGACTGAATCTAAGTATGGTTTAGCGCGTTTCTTTGCTTTTTAATATGCGTCGGCAACCCAAACTATGGCTCAGCCCCGACTTTCTGATCACTGACTGCATAGCCAAGTTCCTGTCTTCTACGTGTTTGATCTCTCCCTTACCAGGTTTGCCTCTACCCAACCAGTGGCGGCGCCAGACCGCGGTGGCTGTGGGTGAAATTGTGGGGCAAGGCAGAATCGCGCGGTTGCAAATGATCCTTCGTTTTTGCAGGGTTGTCATGCGGAGTTTGTAAAACGAAAAGGTTGATTGTCCTGTTGTAATTTCTGACAAACCTTTTGTGGGTACAAGCGGCTTTTCAGTGGGTGCATTTGCACCCACATGACACCACGTAACGCCGCCACTGAACAAATTATCATTTGAGAGGATCCAAAGTCTTACCAAGACCGACTCGCTTAGTGTTTGAGTTGAGAGATGCGTTTTCTCTGTCACGGTGTAGGCAACTATGTCGTTGATGATCGTGGCCACGAGAAACAACGCCAAAAATATCGACACGTAAACGAACAGTTCCTTCTTGGACGTTTTCTTGAGGGCCGACCACCGTGCACATCCCATCATGAGTCGTCTGTCATTTTGGAACTCAGCTAATCTCCCGCTGAAGGACTATTTACATTCTACTACGGTAAGTTTTACGGTAAAGTCTCTAAAGCATTTTTCTTTCTGAACAACCAAGCACTGCCAAATAATAGGAAAATAAGCGTGTGTGTGTGTGTAAGTTTTCGCCACGTCGCGTTGAAACCACGTGATCAAAACATTCTTCCAGTCAGACGCGCATAATTTCGAGTAGTCAACTGTAACCATCATCAAGTAGTCATCTGCTTGCCCTGAAGAAGATATTCAGTTACCGAAAGCTCGGCAATTAAATATTCTACAGCACTGATTATATATTATATTCTTGTCAATATTCTAATCACGGTACTACGCAGCCCTTCCATATTTCTCTGGTGTATGTGTAAGACTTTGTTTCCCAGTTTAAGTTGACTACTAGAAATTAGGCGCGTCTGATCGGAAGAATGTTTTGATCACGTGGTTTCAACGCCACGTGGCGAAAACTTTTTGTTCTTATGCGCAAAAGAAGTGCGCAAAAGAAGTTAGCTATGGTGCCTTTGTTGCGTCATACGCTGACCCGGTGGCCCGTTGATTAGTGAAACTCGTAGAGCTATATATATAAAAACATGGTGGACCTTCAGTAGCAAAAACAAAACTGATGCTGGAAGATAGATTGTATTGTACATACACTGTACAATGTGAACAAAACCTCGTACTATACTTGACAAAAACTCAGCTATCCAATGAGGTAAAGGAATAAGCGTGTACAAGCTCTCCCCAAACGGTCACTGGTCTTAGCTCACACGTCCCCTTCGCTACTTCGCTAAATTGAGCCATAACAGCAACCAGGTTTATAGGTTAACGGGTTTATAGGTTGACACACGATGAGTAAAAATGAGTACAGAAATTGACTACAGGTCCCAGTACAAAGTCATGCGGAAGAAAAGCAATGCTCACATTTTGGCCATGAAATTTCAGATGTATGTGTATCATTAAAGTAAGGTAAACTCCGAGTTTCCTTACCATTCTCACGGTCGGGATGACATCATTGTCTTGGTTATTCTCTCTGCTTGGTCGGTTGGTGGCTGTTCTGTATTTCACACTCGAGCCTCTAAGGGGCAAAAGTAGTGTTGTAGTCTATGGGGAAAATCTGCATTATTATTGACTAAACTCTTAACCTTCACATGCCTGAAATTTCACGGTTTGTGCGCTATGAATATCTTCCATACTATACCGAAAAGGTATTAGTTGTTTTTCAAAAGAGGAAAACATGCCAATTCCTTCAGAAAGTGAATGGAGGGTTGCCCCTTTGCCCTGACATGAGTGCGATAAATGGAACAACCTCCGACCAGGTCAATTCGCGTGGTCTATTTTGACGATGTCTTATTTTCAGCATAGAAAAATCGGCACAATGCTTAACAGAAGGAAGAGGTTAGGGTAATTCTATTATACCAATCCAGGCTGGAAGAATCAAGACTCCTACATCAAGACTCCCACATCAAGACTCCTTTTAATGAACCCCATGTATACACATAATAATGACACTCAATCCATACTCACAAAATATGATTCTGAAAAATGTGAAGAAGGGAAAGAACAGCTACAAGCTTATTGTACCCGTTTTCAGTATAAATCAGTTATCGGTTCTGATTGTTTTTTATTAACAAGTGACTTTTCTTTTACATAAAACGGTTCTCAATTGTAGTGTTTACATCAGCACCCTCTAAATTCCTGATTCACGTGTTGAAAAGTCCTCGAAATATGTTAAATGTAGAAATTTATTTTAAGTTATATTAACTAAGGTTGCATAGCTTGAATGAGTATCATGTCAGTAAATGTTAACTTTTGGCGATGAAATCTGTCAGTCGTCGTACGTTTACAAACTGAGCATCGTATTTTTTTTATTATTTGGCACTGCACACAACAGATACTAAAAATGGAGGTTATGCATCAAAACGAATGGACTGTTGTGCTTGTAAACCAAGATAATGTGATAATGCGCTCATGTCACTGGGAAACTCACGGAAATAAAAACATCATAGTTGAAAAGAGGTGTGATCATACTAAAATGTTTGACATCAAAGCTCTGTAACTATAACACCCGCGGTCACTTTTAAACTGCTTGATGGTTGAGCTGACTTTCTTGAAGGACACGACTGACAACTACATTATGCCCTTTTAAAAGGGGCAAAAAAAAGATAACATAAAAGCGAACGTCAGTATTGGTTTGTTTTTCGGAGGTGGATTTGACAAAAATGTCTTCAAGGCTGTCTTTCAAGAAAGAAACAAAAAGGATATAAAACAGAGAAATAGAATGTAATCATTGGTTTTGTTCTGGGAGTCTGATTTGGCAAAATGTCGCACCACTAGCTGTGATGTTGCACATTTTTTTGACACACTATAAGAAACTCACAACGAAAGTATTGTTAACACTGCATTGTTTTCTATTAAGAGTTTGTGCTGTGTACTCTATTTTGTATTAATTAAAACCTCTTTCCTCACAAACCTAGTACTGAAAAATGGAAGCTTTACAATCTAGAAATGGAACCAACGAAAACCATACGGGATCGATGGTCAAATACGCTTGGACCACGTCATTTCCTTGTAAATCCTCTTCCCAATATGATGGGTTTCTAAATCACACGCTCGCAGTGATGACATACGCCAGGGAACACATCTCCCTGTAGCGTTCCTCGCGTAGCCTGGCGATCTCCTTAGTAACGGGTGCCATGGCAGCCTCCGGGCTCATGTACTGGTAGGTTACTGCCATGTTGGTCACACCTTGGCCTATAAATTTCGCGGTTTTGATTCCGGCCTGAGGGTGAGAAAAAAAAAATCTCCATCGTTTTCCATCCATATACGACTGAACTCCCATTCCAAGCTTCTTAATCTCCTGTGAAAACATATTCCATATTCTTGCGTGGTCCCCCCCGTCAAGGCTGGTGACACCCCTAAGCACCCCAAGTTGCTGGAACCATCGATATTCAATCTAGTTTGGATCTCACATCCTTATCCTTTACCAAAATGTTCCAGAATGGAGCTAGGGAAGGGTTCCCTCGTGCACAGGATCACACTAATACCGGTACCCATAGGGACTTTGATTACAGAGCGTACAATGAAGACGTAGGAGTCAATGTGCACAGCTTCATTTCTAACTTTCGTATAAAAATATTATTCGAATGTATGAGGCCACAAGAATGCCCTTTCTGAAAACTCCTTGAGCAATTTGTTAACATATAGTGTGTTAGTTGTTACTGGGTCTAAAATGGTTTTATTTTCATACAAATAATATATAATGTCGAATTGTTGATTGCAAACATACATATTCCTAAAACGACTAAGCCTATATATCACCTTTTTAATTTTCTTCTTCACAGACTTTTTCTTCTTTTTCTTTTGTGGAGGTGCCTCTTCAACAGTATCTATGACTTCTATCTCGTCGGCAATGGCAACTCGTTTGACTGCTGACACTGCCGATCCCTTTTTCTCCTCACAGCGTCCTTCGCCGTCACTTTCTGACAGAGAATCGAGAGATTCTGCGTCTGCTTTGACGTGACCTTCGGCAGCTGTACCCTCTAGGTTTTCTTCCTCAGCCAAACACTCATAACCGTGTTTGCGTGCCTTGTTTCTCTTATTGTGGTTGGGGTCATCTGGGTCGCCCTTCGCGAACCCCAAGCTCCCACATGCAGCTTGGAAAAGTTCCCTGGGCGTCCGTCGTTTCTGCTTTTTGGCCTTCGAGTAGTTAGTACTGGCGTGGTCTAATGAAGACTTGCGTTGATCCTCAGCCAAGGGAGGCGCGTTGCGGGGATGCTGCTCAGCCGATTCCGGAGTGTCCTCGTTCAGCACTTTGTATTTTCTCTTGCGGAACGGGTTGAAGTTCTTTAATCTCACTCGCCTCCTCTTTTTGGGAACTTCCGGGGTTGGGGAGTGCTCCTTGATAAATTCTTTGATGGCACCCATTTTGAACGAAACTCCTAAAGTTTTCACATGCCTAAAACTTCCCGTGCGAGCGTGAAATACTGCAAATACTCAACAGGCTGTACAGTGCAGCTCTGGAGAACGACGTGGAGCTAGAGTCTTACTCTCCTCCATGCACTAGTGGCAAAGGCAACTGCGACATCGGTAAATTCATCGGGTTAATCTGTAACAGCCTTTCCTGGTCCCGTACAACTTTATCGTGAGACCCCACAGCTTTTGCATCGCACGAGAGAAAATTCATTGAAAGAAGTGCAAAGAGCATATATAACAGGCACGAGAGAAATTAGACGAAGTCGTCAGACCACCACCAGACTGCTACCGTACTTTGAGGCCGACGTTGGAACACTTGATGCACAGACCATGGAGGAATAAAACACAGACGGGGGTCTGAGGGGTTTAGCATCCAGCTTATCCGGACAGGTTGTCAGCGTCACAGCAAATTGTTTGCTTGTCTGCGTCACGACCGATTGTTTGCCCAAATCATAACCGGACTAAACCGAAATCTAACCATACCGCAGGCCCCTACAGGCAGTACTTTACGTTCGTCATTGTTTGAACACCATAGGCATTCACTGTGCTGTTTTGCAGGGCGGAGAGGACGAAGTACAGTTGATAACCGACATCAGCAAATGAAGGTACATGTACTATACTGTGCTGGTTCTGCAGTGTATTGTACGTGTACTATAATGGAATAAGCAGGGAGACTCTGAAAACAAATCTAGTAATACATGTAGCTCGTGCGGAGGGATCAGGCGGGGTCACAGCTTTTGAGTTTGTGTATCGAACTGCATGTACATCTGAACTCTGAACCCTCAATCGATGGCAAAGCATACTCTACAGTACATAGGCCTAGACCATATATGAAACTGCACGACGTCATGTCCATTATAAATTTTATCTGCAGGCATTTCAAAAGCGCACCACCTCAAGAACAATGTAATGATGTTGTCATTAATGGACCCTTAATGAGACTGCGGAAATATCCTGGTAGTTAAAGAAGATACGTTAATTTAACACTGCATTAAGTTCACAGATACAAGGCCCCTGACCAAATACATAAAAAAATTATGTAACTAAAAAGATACGAGCGTAACTGTTGGTAAGAATAAAACAAAACAGGCAAAGTCCCCCCCCTCCAAAAAAGAGGGTGGGAAAAGCAGTGCATGTTGATATGTGCAAATTGGAGTCATTGCCCATTAATAAACCCATAACCCAAACCCATAACTCGTAACTTTATAAGAACCCCCATCAAAGGCGTATCCACTAGACCCAAATTTTCNGGGGGGGGCGAAATTGTATCGAGCGCCGAATTATTTGAAAATTTCTTTTTGTATAAACCATGGCCTTTCGGGGCGGGCGACACGACATTTGGGGGCTTTATACATGCTTTTTGAAAGGAAAGGAAATCGAGTAGTGTCTCATTGTCTTTCTCTAATTACTTTTCAAAAACAGAAATGTTTACTATGGGGGGAGCTGAGTGGCCTCCATTAGCTCTATCGATCCCCCTGGATCCACAAATGACCTCCATAAAAAACAATTAGTCCCTCCCCCACTAGGCCTCCTGCAAAAAAACAAAAAACAAAAAACGCGCTTCTCCATGCGTGTATATGTAACCGGTGCTAAGAAACAACGTGGCGCAATGATGTTTGGAGTGTGTAACAGGTTACCGCAGGTTGCTGGGTCCCACTGAGACACAAGTGATCTGACCTCAGACAAACACATCCAATATCCAAACAAGCACTGGGCAGATTAGGAGTCCAACGCAATAAATACTCCGTACGTCATGACGGTGCTGAAACCGAGACAGTAGTTCGTGTACGTGTACATTGTACATCGAGTAGTTGAGGGCTTCCACTGAAGTTTTGTTTGAACGGTTTCACTATTCTGTTCAGTTTTCGGATATTCTGTACCTTTGTATAGCTTATAGCTCTGTGGTACGGTCAGTCAATACCTCGTAGCAATTCAACATTTTAATTCTCCAAACCACACCAGTAGCTGTAAATAGTCAGGAATATGTTGACTGAGTTTTAAAAACAAGTAATCAACTTTTTATGTGGTGAATAGGAGTTTTGAAAGATAATTTATGCGTTCCTTTTACCGCATATGAGACCAGCTACTGAGTGTATTATGGTGGAGAAGCAGTAGATGACATGCAAGCCAAGGTATCAAGGCCGACAATGGACGGATGAAGGGCGACGTACACTTTGAGCATTATACGTAAGTTATACACGCACTATTCTCGCTATAACTTTGGCCTCACCAGACTCAGTGTTTGGGTAACAATAATTTTGGACCAATGCTTTGAGGATCTCGGGTCTATGACATTTAGCCATTTAAAAATCAAGTTTTAACGTTAACATCAATCAGCCGGAAACAAAATCGGTAGGGAGGAGAATCTACATAATAATAATTATATGAAGTCAACGCAACTGCAAATGTTTATTGATATGGCGAGAAAATGCCTAGAAAATATATATTTAGGGAAAGACGCACTTGGAAATAAAATGAGATGGGATTCACTTAAACCATTGCTGTGACGTCACATTATTGTTATAACTGTCGATTCGGAAAACCGAGCATTTTATTCGTAAGCAAAAGTATAGATTCGGAACTACGAATCTTTAGAAAAGCATGGATTTGGAACTACGAATCTATACTTTCCAAATGCACTGTAAACGGCATGATTTATGCATTTGATATACCACAGAAATTTCTTTATACCATGTGTTCAATTTTATTTTTGCGACTTATTTGAAAGAATTTTGAAGATTCTCCATATTTTTCTTTTTCTTAACTTACCGTGTAGGCCTATTACTCAAAGTTTGCAAAAATTGTAAACTTACGAAAGCATATTTACCCTCACGCTTCAAAAGACTTTTAGCATTCAAGTTCTATAATTTCTTAGTACATGGAATGACTTTTTAGACATATTTGACCACTTTGAATCTGCTGTAGGCTCCATTATCTGTAACACAGCATGTTAAATCTCCACAGTATGTTTCCCAGCGTTCGTTAGTCAATCTTTCTGAAATTTCAAACTGCCTATAAATAAACCAAATTTTCTGCCGCATTATAAATCTTGTGAATGACTGGAAGTTGAATCATTTATTACATATACAGTTTTCACATNGGGGGGGATTGTATCGAGCGCCGAATTATTCGAAAATTTCTTTTTGTATAAACTATGGCCTTTCGGGGCGGGTGACACGACATTTGGGGGCTTTATACATGCTTTTTGAAAGAAAAGGAAATCGAGTAGTGTCTCATTGTCTTTCTCTAATTACTTTTCAAAAACAGAAATTTTTACTATGGGGGGAGCTGAGTGGCCTCCATTAGCTCTATCGATCCCCCTGGATCCACAAATGACCTCCATAAAAAACAATTAGCCCCTCCCCCACTAGGCCTCCTGCAAAAAAAGGGGAAAAAGGCGCTTCTCTATGCGTGTATATGTAAAGGCCGGTGCTAAGAAACAACGTAGTTTGTATCCACAGCGTGGCGCAATGATGTTTGGAGTGTGTAACAGGTTACCGCAGGTTGCTGGGTCCCACTGAGACACAAGTGATCTGACCTCAGACAAACACATCCAATATCCAAACAAGCACTGGGCAGATTAGGAGTCCAACACAGTAAAAACTCCGTACGTCATGACGGTGCTGAAACCGAGACAGTTGTACGTGTACATTGTACATCGAGTAGTTGAGGGCTTCCACTGAAGTTTTTTTTGAACGGTTTCACTATTCTGTTCAGTTTTCGGATATTCTGTACCTTTGTATAGCTTATAGCTCTGTGGTACGGTCAGTCAATACCTCGTAGCAATTCAACATTTTAATTCTCCAAACCACACCAGTAGCTGTAAATAGTCAGGAATATGTTGACTGAGTTTTAAAAACAACTAATCAACTTTTTATGTGGTGAATATGAGTTTTGAAAGATAATTTATGCGTTCCTTTTACCGCATATGAGACCAGCTACTGAGTGTATTATGGTGGAAAAGCAGTAGATGACATGCATCAAGGCCGACAATGGACGGATGAAGGGCGGCGTACACTTTGAGCATTATACGTAAGTTATGCATGCAATATTCTCGCCATAACTTTGGCTTCACCAGACTCAGTGTTTGGGTAACAATAATTTTGGACCAATGCTTTGAGGGTCTCGGGTCTATGACCTTTAGCCATTTAAAAATCAAGTTTTTACGTTAACATCAATCAGACGGAAACAAAATCGGTATGGAGGAGAATCTACTTAATAATAATTGTATGAAGTCAACGCAACTGCACCTGTTTATTAATATGGTGAGAAAATTGCCTAGAAAATATGTATTTAGGGAAAGACGCACTTGGAAATAAAATGAGTTTAGATTCACTTAAACCATTGCTGTGACGTCACACTATTGTTATAACTGTCGATTCGGAAAACCGAGCATTTTATTCGTAAGCAAAAGCATAGATTCGGAACTACGAATCTTTAGAAAAGCATGGATTTGGAACTACGAATCTTTAGAAAAGCATGGATTTGGAACTACGCATCTTTAGAAAAGCATGGATTTGGAACTACGAATCTATACTTTCCAAATGCACTGTAAACAGCATGATTTATGCATTTGATATACCACAGAAATTTCTTTATACCATGTGTTCAATTTCATTTTTGTTACACATTTGAAATAATTTTGAAAATTCTCCATATTTTTACTGTGTAGTACTCAAAGTTTGCAAAAATTGTAAACTTACGAAAGCATATTCACCCTCACGCTTCAAAAGCCTTTTAGCATTCAAGGTCTATAGGCCTAACTTTTTTCAATACATGGAATGACTTTTTAGACATGTTTGACCACTTTAAATCTGCTTTAGGCTCCATTAACTGTAACACAGCATGTTAAATCTCCACAATACGTTTCCCAGCGTTCGTTAGTCAATCTTTCTGAAATTTCAAACTGCCCATAAATAAACCAAATTTCCCGCCACATTATATTTATAAATCTTGTGAATGACTGGAAGTTGAATCATTTAGTTTTCACAACTTCAACGTTGAGTATATGTTCATGGCACCGCCATCTCCTTTCTTTGCAGTGATTGCTGATGGTGTAGGGGAACATTGTGTTTTTCTTGGCCATACAGTGCTTTGCTGATGTTCTTTTTCTGCCCATCACTCGTTCCCTTGTACGCGCGGATAGCTGTGGATCTGTGCCCTGTTGTTTCACAGATCAATTGTTCATCAATGTTTGTAGAAAAAAGCCTGGATGCCGCTGTTGCACGCTGTTCGAAAGCCAGTCTGCTGACCATTTCTACACAAGCGTACGACTGTGCCAGAGATTTGGCTTACGCCCAGAGGTTGACAAGAATACCATGTATTTGAGGCTTTGCACAAGGACGTAAATAAAATGCGGAACTACCATTTGGGTCAGATGGTCTGTGCGACAAGTATTTTAGGCACAACTCAAAGATGCATCTATCAAGGTTTGTAGGGTTTTCATATGCACTCACACACTGGAGTGTCATCTTTCGATGTTTGAGCCCACCTTGTCGGTTCTTTGAAACATCTTCCGTGTAGAGCAAATAGTGGGATTTATCATTGTCTGAAGGGACACCTGCAAGTTTTCAAATCTCAGCTGGTGATGTTCGTTGCTTGCCCGAAGAGCAAAGTGGATCCCGAAGAGATACAAAATCACCTTGTAACCCAGTCTCCCACAACGTTTCTTCCTCGTTTCCTGTTATTACTTTAGCTTGTCTTAGATGGACGCGGTGTTCTTATGAAGTCAGTTCTTTCGTTCGAGTGTCCAGATCCAGGGTGTATTTGAGAACAGTAAATTCCCCATCGTTCAGAAATTTCATGTCCCGTCCGAGCATTGAAAGATACATTGGAATAGATATTACGATTTCGTGAAATGCTTCGCAAAGTGATATGGCTCCCCATTCTGCTTCACCTTCAGGAAAAATCTTATGAGCGAAAAGCAAAGCTCGTCCTTGTCATCTCCAGCAGTTCCACCGAATAGGGCTGATATCCATTTCGGAGGTTGAACCCCTGACCGCACTCTCGTTGCGACAAGCGTTCTAGTCATTGATGATTTTCACTGCCCAGTTACATTTCTTTTCAGTTGACTTGGAGAAGCTGTAATGACAAGGGGAATTTGGAAAACTGTTTAACACCCAGTCACTCTTAAACAGGAACCAGATAGAAGTAGGAATAGTGGTCTTGAAGAAAACCTGTAAGCTCATTTCTGTATTTTCAATGATCTTTGCTGATACTGAGCTGTAGGCTCACAGCTTCTCAGATTCAAATTATCAAGAACGGAACATAGAAACAATTTACAAAAAAAGATACCTTTTTCGTGATTGTAACGCAACATTTCATTCGGGCACTGGCGTACCAAATCGCTCTTTTGAGTACTGACTTTCTGCTGCCTGACAGGATGAGAATTCATCTGGATCTGAAACATCAAAGAACTTCACTCCATAGGGAGAATTAATGGGATTGTCTATACGGATAAATTTTCCTTCAGAAAAGTATACAGTTGTATCAAAAAATGTCTTCAGTTTCCGATTCTGCAGTCCCACTACAAATTAGTTTGAGGCAAAAGAGATCAATGCCTGAATTATACATGTTGACGTCGTCGTGTCTCTGCACTAAATGAAAATATGCGTTAGTTAGACGAAGAGGAAACCTGCAGATTCCACACGCAAAGATAAGTGTTCATGAAAGCCAACCTTCTGAACCTTCTGAACCTTCTGAAGTTGTAGTCAGAAGAGCAGTACTCTGCAAATCGCTCACTTGGGCGAGTTGTGCGTACTATTGTTCTGTAAGTGCCCCTTTGAGACTCTCTAATGATGTTGACTTGACAATGTCATTATCAAGTTTATTCCATTCCCTCGAAGATCTGACAAAGAATGAATTTCTATAAGTCTCAGTCTTGGCAAACGGGATTTCAATTTGCATATTGCCAATGCCTTCCTGCTCTCCTTTCCTCTCCGGTAAGTATGTAATTTATTCATCTGCACTTATTCCCACCATTCCCTGCTGAACCTTATACATGTACAACATAATTAATCTATCCCTCGCTCTTCTTGTTTCCAACGATTCCCATCCCAGCTCAGACAACATCTGAGGAGCGCTGCTGCCTCTGTTGTAATTCCTGATGCAAAACCGTGCTGCTTTTCTCGGTATCCTTTCATGCAAGTGTTCTGATGTGACAGGTTTTATACGGGTCCCAGGCACATGTGGCGTATTCCAAAATAGGTCTGACTAACGTTGTATATGCAATGGTCTTCACCTCCTTGGAGTAGAACCAAAGGTTTCTTCTCAGGAATCCTAATGTCTTGTTGGCCTTGGTGGCGCTGTTATCCACAAGTTCCCCTACGAAAGTTTACTATCAAGTTGGACTCCAGGGTATGATTGTGAACTATTATGACAAAGTGGTTGTCCACACAAAACATAGTCCTCATAAGTGGTTTCTTTTTATTTGAGATGACAACGAAAATAGAACATTTAGTTGGGTTGAAGCTCATTTGTCATATGTCTTGCCATGATTCGGGGATTTACGATCTTCTTGTAAAGAGATCATATCCTCTGCATTGGAAACCAGTATGTATACACAGGTTAGACAATCGTCTGCAAAAAGCCTCGTTTTACATTGTTAGGCTGGTTGAAATCACCACAAAGAATGATGTTATATCCCTTGCCTTTACTGCATATTTTCTCAAATGAACTCTCAAGCTCTAATACAGACTGTTTATGATCATATCTGGGCTTGTAGGCAGTACTGGCACCTACTAAGAGTGAGTCCCATCCTGTCAGTTCAATTTGGTTCCACATTAGTTCACCACCCCTTCAAACTTCTTTACATGTTATAAAATATCCTTTTTACGTGCGATCAATACACCACCATGGACTCCATCCCGTCTGTCTCTACAACACACATCGTTAAGTATCCAGAAAAAACTTCAGTACTTTTAATATTCTGCGAAAGCCAGGTTGCTGTCCCTTGTACAATATCAGGATTATACTGTTCCAAAAGTGCCTTTACTTCAGAGGTTTTGTTTCTGATGCTCTGAAAATTCACCACCATGTTTTTTTGTGAATTCCTGCCTTGGGAATCTAGTAAACATTTTATTTCTTCATGGTAATCGTATTAATATTGCGTATTTACATAATGCATTTAGGTTTGGACTCTCGGGGCGAATCATTATATCCCTGTTCATGGGCCTAGAGACTATCCCATGTGTACAACCATGTATACCACCAGTATCTCGAACTTTTGAAAATTAAAAAAAGTCGCACGCAGTTAGAAATTTCAATGAAACCGCCAAACAATTCACGACGGACTTAATTAATGAGATGAAAATATAAATGAGCTAAAAAACTGCACCACACATGTCCAGAATAACGCGAACGTCATGTCATGCTATGGATAAACTGAAAATGTGACTCGTGTAACGCGATTAATAGTCTCTTCAAATCATCCAACCAAATAATCCTGTAATGTCGATGCATTATGGCGCAAGGGAAAACGACATGTGTTTTTAATACCACTGGTTATGATTTACATTTATACATAAAATGCAGACTAATTAAAGTTACATTTTTCATGTCTGTCCAATTTGATTTTCCATTTCCTTGATTTATCTAGTATATCTTGTGGGGAAATATCACTGAGACTTTAAACGGATTATCAGCCAGTGAAAATAAACACCAAATGTTAAACATCCCACCATGCAACAGCAGTTAAAATTTATAAAATACATTACATGTATTACCAAATGCCCACCCCCCACAATGGATCAGTCCCTCTACTGTAGCCAGTATATCCAGCAAGGAATGAGACCGAGGGGTACCTCCCCCCAACATGTCCAATCGCTATACACACTCTAGACTATTGTTATCTAACACACACCCCTAGATGTCTGAAAATATTCCTCAAATTCCAGTGAAACAATGACCAACACAAAGCGGGGGGAGGTGTTCTCTCATATCTCGCTTCACGTGGTAGCCAGAGTTCAACGGTATGCAATCAGTATCCACGAAGAAATGACCAAGCTTTTCTTTCCATTGTTACCTGTTGATGATTGTAAGAGTGTGGAAAGCTCATACTTCCACAATCCACTGTTCTTTCTCTCCACTCTCCTCCACCGTCAGCCATCATTCCCTTCTTTTTTGTTCCCCGCTTGCATTGTCAGTCCAGCTGCATCTTCAGTTCACCTGCCTTTGTCCTTCTGTCAGACGAGCTTGTGACTTTCCCAGTTATTCATCCTTTCCAGTGCCTTTGTGTAAGATTGTAGAGTCAGGCAGTCAAGCGTGTTAACCTGTTTATTTTGCGCAGATTCGGGTCGCGATCAGTGATCGGACATTAGTTAGCGAGAACCAGCTCTGGGATCACTGATCGTGATCAAGATCTGTGTGAAATAAAAAGGCCCCTCTTGTTTCTTTTAGATCATTGAGGACATGGATTACGGGAAAATGCCTTCCGACCAATCGTCTTGTGGGTGTGGTCGTGAAGTAATCCACGTATTACGGCAGACGTTCCTCGTGGTACTGCGAGCACTTCGTCACCCCATTCGAACGCTTACGCACTGCCGGCGGTCGTGCCGACATCCACCATACAGCGAGGTCAGCGAGAGTTCGGCCGCAGAGGACCTTCCAGATGATGAAACTTTGATATCCACAGTCGAGGCAGACGAACAGAACAACAACTGTACCGCAGACTCCACGGTTGCAACCGATGACAGACAGAAGCGAAGGGTGTCTAAGCGGGTAACAATTCTCCTTACCCCCCCCCCCCAACGTAATTCCAGTTCCGGGCTAAAGGGCTGAGCACTGAGCATGCAAACCTTGGGCGAAAACAATGTAACTTAATCCAAAAATTTTCAAGATGTATTTTGCGTTGGGGAGATGTTAATTATTTATAACGGGTTTGCCCTTACCCAACATATATTAATAAGCACTGTTTGCTCAGTGCTTGTCCGAGAGCTTGGGAAAAAAACTCACAAGCTTACTCGGGTGGGACTCGAACCCTCGACCTCCTGTTTACTAGTGCAGATGTCTTAACCACTCGACCACCGAGCTTGCCGGGGTCGGCTGGCTGGTCCGAGTCAAATGAAGCAGTGGGTACCGCGAACTATTTCCAAGATAACTGTAAGGTGCACTAGTAAGCAGGAGGTCGTGGGTTCGAGTCCCATCCGAGTAAGCTTGTGAGGTTTTTTCCCAAGCTTTCGGACAAGCACTGAGCATACAGTGCTTATTAATATACGTTGGGTAAGGGCAAACCGTTATAAATAATTAATCCAAAAAGTCATATGCATTCCCCTCCACTGCGCAACCCCACGTTTGCATGTTTTACTGCACTTCCTCTTGATATATCCATGCATCGTACTTCCAGAATTGTAATATTTATACAGACCTCATAGATAGCAATGTACAAACTCCCATGAACACATTTTGGCTGTTTTGATCACAGCTATTAGTGCTACTAAATTTCATACATGCCTTCTTGGTGAAGTTTGATGTCTGATGGGGAGGTTTTTTCACCTGATGTCCTCATTAAAAGGGCGAAATTCATGAGCATTTTGCCCATCTACGCTACAGAAAAATCAGCAGCATGTACATATACTCTCAATTACTGTCAGCTGCGTGATAGCTTGACCAATCTTAACAGAGCTCCTGTCTCTTCCTTTTGTTTTTCTGACCCTATCCAAATGAAAGCTGAGCTATGATTGGTCATTGGAATGGGAGCAAATTGGACCAATCACAGTGCAGCTTTCATCTGTGGGTGACAAGAAAACAAAAAGAAAAGATAGGAGCTGTCTTGCGATTGGTCAAGCTATCACATAGCTGACAGTTGAGAGTACATTCTGCTGAGTAGTGTGGATGGGCAAAGTGATCAAGGAAGCACAATTCCAACAAGGATATAAGGTGAATAAACCTCTGCATCTGACATCCAACTTCAACAAGAAGCATGTATGAAATTTGGTTGCACAAATAGCTGTGATGGAAGAGTAAGTTGGCAATATCAAAACAGCCAAAATGGGAGTTTGTACATTGCTATACGGAAGGTTTGTACATCTGTAAACCTTACAGTGCTGGAACTATACATGTCGTGAAAAACCTTGATTAGGCTTTGTGAACGTCATAGTTCGATCCTGTAATTCAAGTACATCAATATAATTAATCATGCATTTACTTTTCCTTTGTCATAGATGAAGAAGACGTTACGAAAGAGCGTGCAGCATTATGGCAACGGTGCCATGTTGTGCGGCTCACCGTTTGGTTCTACGTTATTAGCACGTGACATTCAGCAGCGAATCAGCTTGAATCATAAATATGTTGAGATGCAAGATGTCTACGTACCTTCTTATGGAGTGTTTCTGTAAAGACTGACGTTTGCACCTTTTTCACAGGGAATTCGTAAGCCAAAATGCTACCAGAGTTGGCGATTCTCGTCAGATTTCAACCAAGATAAGCCAAGATACAAATACAAGTAGTCACTTCACAAATAAGTCTTCATTTCGGGATGATTCGAGATTAGGCATGTCCAAAACGTCAACACTGCATTACTGCTTTGCATAATACAATTAATTCGATAGAAAAGAAATATCGGATGTTGTTAAAAAAAAGTGTTGTTAAAGTAATTCAAGATTTCAATATCTCATCGAGACCACTGTAAGTTGGGCAAGCCTGGAGCCCTCTTGCGTTCATGTCAATGCTACATTAATGGGCTAGAATAGTTTACTCACATAAACTGAGGACAGGACGCGATCCTTTGAAACTGTTCGGAAAGGTGTACATGTAAACAAAGCGTAACGTCATCAGGTTATGAATCTGTTGCTTTCTTAACAATGACTTATCTTCAACACTCATATTAATTTATGCCGCTGGTTGCAACTCTCCCGGCGTTCATAATCAATTGCATCTCGTACACTATTTTTATGTGATTGGTTCCCTCCGTATTATAACAAACCAAATCAGCTACTGGGAACTACTGATGAAAATATGACCAAGGGCCCGGTTCCAAACCATCCGTCGTTGGTTGAACTATGATTACTGAAGTTGTCACTTGAACCTGCCCGGTGATGCTGTCACAAGTTTGTCTCCTTTGAGCAGAATGCTATACCATTATGGCTCGTTTAATGTTAAGCAATAATAATTGACATTAGTTGCGGGATGTTCATCTCTGCTAGTTGAATATCCTTGTTCGATTAATGTTGGAGAATGTACTGGCGGAAAGGGACATCCACTCCGAAATGAACACTAACAGAAAAAGGCGACTTTGGGATCATTCCTTTTTAGTGGCGTAGCCAGGCTCTTCCCAAATGGGGGCAAGGGGGAAGAGTTCCCAGGGGAGGGGTATTTCCCCCCTCCCCTTTAAAAATATGTAAAACGCCTTAAGGATTTCGTATAAGCCTCGCACTTCTGAAGCGCAAACAAGTTTCAATGAATTGAAGAAATTTAATTGTCACACATGTGCCCTCCCTGTCCCTCCAAAATTCCCCGAAATTTGCTGCCGAATTCGTTTCTGGTAGCATGTATCATTAACATAAATCTACTGAAGTTGTCAGGTGTAGCCAAACCTTAAGGACCTTACCTTTTTAAATTGATTGTTTACAGACTTGCATGAAACTATACAATGAATTTCTCACTGACCCCTTCCTACGTGACAAGTCATGCAGTTGTGAGGGCGCTATTCCAAAGTAGTGTGAGAAACAGTTTTTCGTATCATACACTGTACTGATGGCATAGACGGCAACTTGTTTGCGCAATTAGCCCATTAGAATCCCTAAAACTTCCTATCCGCATTTGACGAATTTACTCCGAGTTAACACCCCCATCCACTCAATGCAGCTCCATTTTCTGACGCAGATTGCCCTGATTTGTGGCTAGAGTTTGGAATGTTCCGTCTGGTTTAATGCTTTACAAAACAAAAACAAAAAATTGTTATATTCAAGGGTTTCTGCCTTCAATTCTTATTTTTTGCCGATGATTTGCAATCACTGTAACACTTTGCGCATTAAATGAAGGGGGAAACATGACACTAAGTAGGGCTTCTACACTTCAGCGGCGGCCAAATTTTACTGTACAAAGGTATTTTTAATAGAATTCGTTTAATTATAATCGCTGTATTCCCCAATCACATGTCAATAAACTAAATTGAATGCTATTTTTGGTAAATTGAATGATGATCTGAAATAAACACTCCAGTAAGCTTCAGAACGGATGTTCCAATAGAGATTTTCACGCATCTTCTTGTATGACCCGTATTCATAATGGTAATGGTTTCTCTTGCTTTTATTCTTCTTGATCGCTTGCCAGACAAATTACGAAGTCCCAAGGCTGTCTTTGCTCTGTTGCTAAATCTGCAGTGGCAGACTTGCTCCGCTGTTGCCATTTAAAGGGTATCTGCCATGCATTTTTAGAAATACAAAACTCCAAAAAGCATGTTGTTTTCGCAGTTAACCTAATTATTTTTGCAATTTCTGTTTCAATTTTGAAGGGGGCATGTTGCTGCCTTTTTGGTTTTCATGCTAAGGAGAGTTTCCATGTTCGAGAGTAAAACTGCACCTGATATCATCTCGGAAAGAAAACCTTAATTTTACAGTAGTTTTGCACAGAAATGCTGAATTTTTAAAGATTGTGCCGGCCTGAGATTTTTTTATTTGATGGTGTATTGTATAAGTACACGAGAATGAGCAAGAAAGCAACCCTATCTCGGAAATATTTAAATTCTGGTTAACAGTTTGAACATAAACTTGTTCTCTGAATCGCCAGTGTATGACGTCATAGTAACAGTTATCCAGGAAAACATTGGCCGAGTTTGGGTGGCTTGCTGTCTTATGTTCACGAGCAGCTTGATTTGTTGTTCTTAGGTCGGCCGCTCGAACGCCAGGGACGTACAACTCATTACCAGCACACTGTCGTAAATGTTGGTACCTTAATCCTGTCCCAACTTACTTTTTATAATGGGTTTTGCGGTTTTTGTCATTAAAAAAAACAGAGCTGGGGGGGGTGCAGGCTGCCACGGGCAGTAGCCCACGTTATTTGTGGTCAGGTAATCGCCATAGTTGATTGGGTTAACAAAGTGAAATGGTGTAGCAGCAATGACCGGTCAACACAGAATGTTGTAAAGTCACCTCCATAGTATTGGCGGGCCTTAGACTAAGTAATGTTGGAAAGTACTGTTGCCAATAATTTATTTTCTCATTTACACAAATCCTGAGGGGGTAGGGTATGTATCTCCCCACCTTTGGTGGTGGGATGATGGGCCGTGGAATCATCCCACACCCTTTTTGTGATAAGCAAAAAAGTTAATTTGTAAAATGATTTTAATATGCCATTCTGAGTTTGACTATTTTATGTACAATGTTTTTCATGAACATTGCACTCATAGTACATGGTGTGGCATTGATTTATAAAATATACTCATTTCAAGACATGGTCACTTTTCCTGTATAAACTCCTTTTCCTGTTCTCTTTGGCAGCCGTTTCATAGCACACATAAACAATCATACTGATACAAGAACGGATTCACTAATTAGCCTTGGATGACTGGTCGATGATACAATTGTGCCTGGCATTAATTTTGTTCATTAATTGCAAAACACGTTTCTTGTGTTGGTGGGTTGTACATGTGATAAATTATTATCAAAAAATTACTACGCAAAGAAAGAAATTAATTTAAACTAAGAAAGAAAGAAAAATTCGCCAGGAAACAGACTTTTTAAATAACCGTCTATCTACCGGTACATTGCATGGAAAAAGAGAATCAAACCCACATGTCTCGTGGATTGGAATATAAGTGAATTTTTCTTGTATCAATTGTCTAAAAGCCGCAAAAGGCCGTCTAAAGGGTCTGTTTCTGCCATATCCAAATATTTGAAATCTGCTGGGGACATAAATTCTACAAAGCTGTCTGGGCCTCAGTTATTCACCCCCCAACTATGTATTTGTATAGTCAAAGGTTTTAATGAAGGGTCCAACATTTTATCATATAAGCTTTAATGTAAAAGGGACTTATTTTATTCACAGAGCTACAAGAAAATCACTCCATTAGGATCTTACAATGACGATTGAAGACTGTAATCACAAAGGACTAGGACTAAAACTGGCAGTCAAATTTGTTAAATTTTGACATCTCAAGCTCTCATTCATCACATGTATGAGAGCTTCCCTATTGTAAAACTCCTGATATTCGGTTTCCATTCATTCCAAAGACCTTATTTATGGAATTTATATGGGATTTTTCTTGCAAAACAATGTTCCGAATTATATATTTGAAATAGGACTCAGTTGACCGAGTCCCCAATTTCAAAAAATTACGGCTTCCTTTAATTGTGGACAGTTTTAAAGTCACATTTTCCGTTTGTGTTGAAGCATGGTTGCCGGTGAAAAAGGGGATGCGAGTGGGCTGAGAAAGGGATGCAAATTGCCTCGCCGGATTGACCGTGTCAGACGGGGCTGGTTGCCGGTGGAAAAAAGGGAATGCGAGTTTGGGGTGGAATTTTCATTCTATTCAGTAGGGGGCGCATGCCTAATATCAGGTGACAATTCGATTGAACCTTTAGAAGTACCCTTTTCGTCGCAATTACTTCTAACATTACATTCACTTCTACACATGAAAATAATGCTAAATATACCTCTGATATAAAGGAGATATGATGATGCCGCTATAATATCTTAGATAAGAAGATGGTTTCAAAATGTCTGTAGTTGTAATCGCCAGCATGCACTTCAATGTTGTTACTGGGAAAACGATTTAATAAACTTCACTTAAAGTTTACCTTTGCCAAATACTGAAAATTATCGGTAACTGTTACATCAAATATAGAACAGCAAAAGTGAACACCTTAAACATTAAGTTTTTATTGAATTTACATTTCCAAACTTAATTAAAAATTAAACAGAGTTTAAATTGATACGGCGATAAAAGATTTCTTTAAGTTAACTACTTGTTTGACATAGAATTCAGCTGATTTTTCTGTCACGGTCAACATTGTTAAATTATTTGTGATCTTTCATATTCAAAATGAATGAAACAACCCTCCAGATACACGAAACAGGAAATGTTCAGACTTGAAGGCACAGTTGTGACATTTCATATAAATGATATGCAAAAACTATCCAGCAATAGTTGCACTAGTGCTAACATCCCTGTTTTATATTGGTCTTAAAAGTCCTTTCTTTTGATGACCGTGCTTGAACTGCTAAATGACAAAATCATTGAACCGTGACAGCAATATTCATTTATGCTCTCTTTTCAACGTTTCTTACATCTTCGCTTGTAATTCAATTGTTGCATGCGTACTGATATTCAACGTTCCATCGAAATGTATTTAATGAAATTTTAATTTCAGCATTTTTCTTTTGTTATCCTTATGTTTGTACACAGTCCATCCCACGAAATAGGCCTAAGGGTTTCTATTAAAGAAAGCGTGGGTTTTAAATCACCGAGCCGAAACCCACTCCTATTTGTTTATTTATTATCAAACAATACCACCGTAGATGAACACGATCAGTCAAGTGGGGAATTAATAAGTAGTATTGTTTGAATTCACCGATGCATGTCGGGTCGTATCCCTTGGCATATTTTTCCATTTATACACATGCTTTTATTATCCTGCGTTGTTTTACAGGCTTAGCATATTTTTATTTGCGACACGAAATTGTTCTAGCGTGTCCTCTCAATACTCAACCCTCCACTCAGTACATAAGTTTGAAACAAGATGCAATACTGCCTCTGTGCTTAGGATGAAGAATAGCTAACTCTGCATTCATCTCAACTTTCACAGTGGCAATTTGTCTTCTAGGAGCAAAGAAACCAGGCAATAGTTGTCGGAGATGCTCGATTATTTCCATGGAAACATGGAAATGCCGTGCAGAGTTAACCTGGACAATGTCATCATACAGAGAAAATCCATCTTTCGATTCTATCATCTTCAAGATAGAAATTATGTCGCCTTTCGTGAAGGCCATTCCAAGGAGCCACGTTTTCATTTATTTCCCCTTTCTGCAGGCTACAGTCAAAGCCATACGTAGTAAAAAATATTCTTTCTCACCAAAATTAATGTCGCGTGCAATGCCCATGACACTCTCCCTCTGCTGCCGTAATCTTTTGGCAATTTCTCTGGATCGGCAGTCACAGTTTGGGGATCTGGGTTGGTACATCTGTTTTTGCAATACCAGTAACTGTCTTATGCAATGACTTGTTGC